GTAGGTCACCTATATACCCCATCAGCGTCCTGATGGGTCCACTTAATCCCTATCGGCATCCCAGATAGGTCCACTTAATCCCTGCAGGTCCACTTATACCTCACCGACGTACCGGATGAGTCCACTTAATCCCTACCGGCGTCCCAGATAGGTCCACTTATACCTCACTGGCGAACCGGATGAGTCCACTTGCATACTTAAATTATTTCTAAATCTCTTTAAACATTCGAAAGCAGCAATATCATGTACTCAACATATCACTGAAATCATTAATATGAATTTCACTTAAACCATTAATAACAGTTACTCTCTATAACATTTCAAAAATAACCAATCAAATATTTTGGGCTCAAATTTAGAAAGGTAGCAGTTTGTAAAGGCATTCTAGCATAATTGCCAATTTAATATGTATAGAAAAAAAAACTCTTATAGAATTCAAGAATACAGAATTACAATCCACAAATAAACATTTCACAACAATACTATAATCAATTGCAAAAATGTCAATTTTTAAATAATAAGGCAGTCATTTGCACATGAATTTTACAATGTCTAAATATTCAAAACAGTAGAAAGAAATATCACAATTTTACTAAAAGCAGAAATATCACATTTATTTCTAATAATAGACAAGAAAAATAAATAAATTTATTTTTCATAATTTACAGCATTCAAAATTTCTAACATAATTAAAATATCACATTTATTTCTAATAATTTGATAGTATCTAAAATTTTCTAACAATAGCCAAGAAAAATAAATAAATTTATTTTTCTAAGAATTTACAGCATTTAAAATTTCTAACATAGATAAAATATCACAATTTTTATCAAACAGATTATTTTTCAGGAAGATGATGTCACTTACTCACAAATATTTGAGAGGGAGTTTCCGATAAAAATTCGGCTCGAGAGAGGAGTTCACTGTGTTTCGACCAGAGAAAAAATCTCAAAAGTTTTCTAAGATAGGAGTCTTCACCTCTTTGAATTTAAATTCTAATAACATATTATTTTATTCTTTTATTATGTTACAGGTGTGAGCGTTAGTTTACGCTTTAAACACCTTAAGCTTTTATTAAGTTACAGGTGTGAGCATTAGTTTACGCTTTAAACACCTAAAGCCCACGTCCTTTAGTGGACGTGGCAAGAGCCATGACGCTTTAAACACCTAAAGCCCACTTCCTTTAGTGGACGCTGGCAAGAGCAAGGAAACACAATGCTTTTAAACGAAAAGCTTTGAAAAGTAGCGATGGTCCCTAAACACCATCATGTTCAAACGAATCATCATGTATTAAAAGTTTAATTTTTTTTTTTTTTGAAAGTTTAGGATTGTTACAGAGACTCATTGTGTCCATAGATAAATATACAGACTTATCTTTTATAGACAAATTACAGATAACAATAATAACAATAAATCACATATTCCTATACTATACCTAGACTTACGATAGACAATATACACTTTCCTTTCACATTAAAAACATACAAATCCCACAAATCTATAAATACTTGAAAATCTAGAAATAAATTGTCTAGATAAGTTGTTACAATGTATGCAAGTTTTTGAACTTGAAATTCTTTCTTCTTCATATCCGCACCTCCCTGGTCAATACGATCAATGGGAGGGTTCTCCGACATAAGAACTCTCTTTTTGAGGATTTCGAGGAGTACATTACTTCAATAATATAAAGTTGCATATACAAACTTTTTCCTTAAGAAATTGTTGAATTAGACTCCGACTCGTTCGAGTCACTCGGACCTGGCAGCATGTCGCATCCTAACGACTGCTCTAGAAACAAGGCAAGTCTTAACCTAGCTAACAATATTTTTGCGTACTTTTAATCTGCAGTCGAATTAGTTGGCGTCCCAACTCGGAAAGACAGGAGTAAGGGAAGCGAGTTTTTGAACACTGCCAAAGAATGGCCAACATCATCTAATTTGTAATCAAAATGCAACCAAACTACTCAGGGTGGCACTGGACCCAGACCCAATGCAGAACCCGAAGGGTAACCCAACCCAAGTCTGGTTATGGGTTAAAAAATTGGACCCAACAGGTTGGTTTTAGGTCTAAATCTTGGACTCGATCACTATTCGAAACCATTTTTTAAATTATAGCTCCTCTTTGCTTCCTCAAGTACCTATTCGAAACCCATAAGAGCCCCAAACAGCCTTAAAGCTTTGCAACTAAAGCTTGACATCACAAGCCCCAGGAAAAACTCAAAACTTCACATAACAATCAAATTGTGAAAACGGCAACCCACTTAAGTAAAAACCAGTATTAAAAAAAACGGCAAGTCGAACCGGACTCGTCCGGTTCCAATCAAAATCCGAGAACCGCACGGTTCTAGAGTGGAACCGCTGGTTCCCATCCGGTTCAACCCGGTTCTAGAGTGGAACCGCCGGTTCTCATCCAGTTCAGCCCGGTTCACACAAGTAACGCATAACACGCACGTGCGAGCGTGCCCCATGCACACTCACACGCGTACACGTGTGTCCGAGCGCACGTGCAAGCGTGCCCCACGCACATACGAGTGTTCGAGCGCACGTGCGAGCGTGTCCCACGCATGTGCACACGTGTGTCCAAACGCACATGCAAAGTTGCCCTAATATTCTTATACATATTTTATAGTTCATATTG